TGCCCTAAGCGGTAAACTTATAATCCTGTACGGTCGCTTCTTGATATTGAGATGCTCATGCCTAATACTCCAGCTCATGTAGCCCTAATCTTCTATGGCCAGAATCGGGAAATCAATCAGTTCTTACAAAGCAACAATTCGGTGACCCGCCCAAATTATTTTCGGATCCTTGCTCTTGCAAGCATTGACATTATGTTCACCTTGCCTATCGGCATCGTGACCATTGCCTTGACCGTCAAAAACGACGCGTCCATTGGTCGCATTCCGTTCTACTTTGGCTGGACCCTTGACCACACGAACTGGCAGCCGGAGAGCTTCTCCTTTGCAGACATAATATCTGCCGGGCCTCTCAATCTAGCGAACTTCCGATTCACTTATTGGACATCGCCCGTCCTCGCGTTCGTCATCTTCGGCCTCTTCGGTATCACATTGGAAGCCCGCGTATCGTACTGGCGCATCATATGCACCGTCGGCGGCTGGTTCGGCTGGCACCCCACACCTCGCACGCGCAGGGCACGTTCGGCGCCGGGAGATATCGAGGTCGGCGAGCGTCCGGCTCAGAACTCCATGTCGTTGGGTCTTGAGTACGCAGCTCGTACATTCACACATGTATATGGCTGACGACGACGATCCAGGTCGAACCCAAGCTTCATCAACCCCAACGCGCGTGTGCAAGATCGGGGCGAAGAGGGCGCCGGGAGCGCCATGAATGAAATGGCGGAAGGCTCGGAGGGCAAGGATGCGGCCGACGAAGTACGCCGGGCTACCGGGGATACGTTGTAAGTAGGCTTTGCGACGCCGTATGCTCTGTTTGGCACCTGACATATTGAGTAGGCATGTGGACGCAGAGCGCTCAACGCGGTCTCACGGATCGCGCCAAGACGGGATCGAAGATGTTATGGACATTGCGTGAAGGGTGCTAATTCTTGTTGAAGTTGTTCGCCAGTAGCATGGCTTCTCGCAGTACGAGGCTACATACAGTTCGGTGATTGAGATGCTCTAAGATCAGAGATTCCTTATGTATGAGTGCCCGAACTACTTACTTTGACTTCTAATCTCCATATCATATTATATTACTTCTATGCGCTTATATGGGTGTATACGTCGTGCTACAGTGTACATGGAGGTAGGAGCAAGAGCACTCGAACGTACCCAGGTGACGGACATTGCTGAAGGAGAAGGTTGGAGGGTATGTACGTGGGCGGGCACATGATGAACATGACGTCGAGAAACACGGTTGCTGCGGTGCGCGTCGCGTCGCGCTCGAGTCTCGACGCGCGCTTGTCTCAGTTTCCCATCTCTCCCGGTCCCGCACCATACCTAGCGCTACGCATCATGTCCCTAGCAATCTACCTTTAATCTTGAACCTCCCTTTCGTTAAGCGCATTGCCACATACAGCCTTTCAGTCGGATTAGGAAGCCTGCTTACTCGAATCAGCTCGGGGAGGACTCAGGGTCGCGAAGAAGACCTGGAGCGCGGGAGATCACACGCACAATGTCAATGGGAAACGGCGTATTGAAGGGCACAGATGTTCCTCATGCGACGTCTAGCGCCACCCCATCGATTCTGGACGAAGCGTTGGTTGGCTCGCCGCCCGCATCGGCAGCACTCGAAACCGAAAGAGCCGCCAACTTGAACGCCGAACCCTCAGGGTCGCAAGGTCACGACGCATGCGAACAGGGTACTGCTGGTAACGCCCGGCCCACGACCATCCAAATAGAGGACTCTCCCCGGCCTGCCCATCGACTGCCACGACCGCCGATCCAGCGACAGCCGTCGGCGTTGCAGCGCATGGCGTCCGAAGTCAAGGCCCGCCTCGGTGGCGGCGAGCACCAGCGCGAATGGACCGTGTTCGAAGGCGCGATGGCGCATGACCGCGAACAGAATAAGACGACCTCTGTCAGTCTACGACGCCCGACGAATATGCGTAGCCAGAGCAGCTTCTACGCAGACCCGGCGCTGAACTTGATTGACAATGTGTCGGACGCCCCGACGCGAGCGGCGAGTCCGGTCTTTGACGAGACTGTGGCACACGAGCGTTATGATCCCAGCGACGAAGGCGAAGACGGGGAGGCTGAGGAGGAGGCGGGCGAAGGCAGCTCCCAATCGGACGACGAGGATACTCAGACCTCAGAGTCGTCTGCGGACGGTTCGCGAGAACGGCCCGATGTCCCGCTGTGGCGACGAGTTGTGCACACAGTCTCCGGCTTCAGACTCACGCCGTTGCAAAAGAATATACTCAAGTGCAGCATTGCGTACTTTATCGCGAGCTTGTTCACCTACAACCGCGCGTTGAGCCACTTTGTGGCCATCATGCAGGATGACGGGCCGGACGGGAGAAGGTACCCAAACCCAAGTGGACATATGGTTGCTACAATGTTCGTGCTCCACCGCTCTCACATACTATCAAAAAGATCTAATCAATCTCGCCAACAGTGCTGTGTACTTCAATCCCGCCAAGACGGTCGGAGGGATGATCGAAGCAGATATCTACTGCCTCATCTCCTTGGCCTGGGTCGCCTTCATCTCGCTGGTCAGCATGAACCTCTACTGGGCGTTCGAGACGCATGCCGGTTGGGAGTGGCTCGCCGATATCCTCGCCATACTTTGGGTCGGCCTCGGCATGTCCTCTGTAGCGTGGATGAAAACATACATGGCGAAACCGACGTTCAACACCGCCTGCAGCATGTTCTCTATCATCCTCTTCGTCGTCGTGGTCAAAGAGGGAGGGCTGCCGACGCTCATTGGTGTCGCCTTTATCGTCCTGGTCGGGAGTCTGGTCGCCAATGCCGTCTGCTACATCGTATGGCCGCAGAGCGCGACGGCGAAGCTCGAGGGCGCTATGATCACCACCCTGGACTCCTACAGCACGCTCTTACGCTTGCTCACGAACACGTTCCTACTCGAAGAGCCTCTTCACAAGCTCAGCCACGACCGCATCCAAGCTGCGGTGGCCGCACATCAGTCTGGCTTCACCGCGCTAAAGAAGCACTTGTCAGAGGCCAGGAGTGAGGCCGTCTGCGGTGGGCCTCGCGGACGCACGAAGAGACCATACGAAGATGCCGTGGACGCACTCACTCGCCTCGGACAACATCTCAACGGTCTACGATCCGGCATCACCCTGCAATACGATATTGCTCGAGCGTACCGCGACGGTACACTAGCTAAGCGCCGGCGTGCGAAACGCGGCGCCTCTAAGGCACGCGCGTCTACGAAAGGGCCGGGCTCGATCCATACGAAGGCGGACTCGCCGGTATACAAGGCAGAGGACGAGGAGACGGTCATGATCAAGAGCGTTGCGGCTATGTTTGGTGATCTTGTGGATGAGCTTGGGCCGCCGCTGCATGCTTTGAGCAGGACGTGTACGAACGCGATCAAGCGTGTGCGTGAGGCATTTACCGCGAGGTCATCCCTGTCTCCGTCCCGTACGTCTAGCACCCATATATAACCACATCTCTTACTGACTATCAACCTGTATCTCGACAGAGTCGGAGATGCTCTCGGTCGAGTTCCTTGAACTCGTGGACGGGATCGAGAAGCAACTGTTCCGCTTCGAGAGCACGATCAATCAGGCTGTCCTCAAGCTCTACACTCGCTCTGGTGTCCCTCCTCCTCCGAGCGGTGCCACTATGTTCACCACGGATGGCAACGGAGGGCTACCATTCCCTCCGGGTACACCTGGCAAGACGCGTGTGCCGACCAGTGCGAGTCGCGCGAGCGTCGCGAGCGGGTTCGGCGCAGACAACCCGATGTTTGCGGGCGGGGAGAACGAGAACGTGTTCTTGGTCTACTTGCAAGTTCCTCCCTACTGCCTTTGTATCTTGAACGTGATATTGACACTTGCCCGTCTAGCTTCATCTTCACGCTCCAGGAGTTCGCCGCCGAGCTCGTCAACCTCGTTGATGCCATGGCACGTATCTGCGCCGCCGAGCGCGCACGCGGACCGTGCTGTCTTCTTCCATGGTACAAGCGCTGGCCCACACACATCCTCGCACGCTCTCCGTGGCGACACAACTCCCACAAGCGGCGCAAGACGGCCACCACCACCTCCACGTCATACGGAACCCTGAACGGCGGTATCCCCGATCATCGCAAGTCCCAGCGATCTCTCTCCGAGTACTTCGTCTCTGCATCCCCAGCAAGCCGCGTGGCGGCGTACTTCCCCAAGGTCCGACCGCATGCGCCGAATACGATGTCTACGCCGTCCACTGCTGCGTTGTCGTTCTATGGTCGTGCAAAACAGCTGGCGTGGCGCGTTGGTGCGAGAGCGCGCGAAAGCGATGTCAAGTATGCTGTCAAGGCTGGGATGGCCACTGCTATGCTTGCTGCGCCGGCGTTCTTCGAGGCGACACGACCGACGTTCATGGAGTACAGAGGAGAATGGGCTTTGATCTCGTTCTTCGTTGTACTAAGCCCGACCATCGGCGCGGTGCGTCTCTCGTTCTCACATACGGCTGAGGATCAATGTACTGATACGCGTCATAGACGAACTTTCTGAGCGTACATCGTGTGCTGGGTACCCTATTCGGCGCTGCAGTCGCCGCAGGCATCTACACCCTCTTTGCCGATCATCCGGTTGTCCTCGCCATCTTCGGCTTCCTGTTCAGTATCCCGTGCTTCTACTATATCGTCGCCACACCTCAATATGCGACCACGGGTCGCTTCGTGCTCCTGACGTACAACTTGACGTGCTTGTATAGGTATGTCCCAGACAGATCCGGGGAGGGAAAGAGCTGACGTATGAATGCAGCTACAACATTCGGAGACGTGACATATCCGTGCTCGATATCGCGTACCATCGGTTCATCGCTGTTACTGTCGGCGTACTGTGGGCCGCTTTCGTCTCACGGTTCTGGTGGCCTGCCGAAGCGCGGCGCGAGCTCAGCAAGTTGCTCGGAGAGTATGTGCACGTTCGCTTCTACGCTCCTCGCGTAAACTGACTTTTTTCGTGTAGGTTCTGCTTGAATATGGGATGGCTGTATACGCGTCTTGCTGCGAGCAACTCTTTGAATGCCGAAGATGCGCAGGCGCTGGTCGTAACTTCGGATGATGACGATGAGCAGACGGAGGAGAGCGCGCTTGTACCGAGGCGTCGGAAGACGGTGCTGAGCAACTCGGTGGAGGAATTCATGGCTATGTGCGTATCAATATCCACTGCATATTGCTCCCGTACTGATGTCATCGCAGGGAGTTACACCTCCAGCTCCAGCTGATCAAGCTCCAGGACCTCCTCAAACAAACCGCGCACGAACCGCGTCTCAAAGGCCCCTTCCCCGTGCCCCTCTACCGCAACATCCTCGCAAGCCTCCAGACGATCCTCGACAGGCTGCACAGCATGCGCTGCGTCGCCTCGCGCGAAGAATGGCACACCTCCGTCCGGCGCGACTTCATCGTGCCCGTGAACCGCGAGCGGCGCGAGATGGTCGGCAACATCGTGCTGTACTTCTCCGTGCTGGCTTCGGCGTTCAGACTCAAGGCGCCGTTGCCGCCGTATTTGCCGCCCGCGGAGAACGCGCGGCTTGCGCTTGTTGATGCGATAAGGGGGCTGGATGTGGTGAGGAATAGAGAGACGAAGGGGAGCAGGCAGCTGTTGTTCTTTGCGTATGCGCTTACGATGCGCGGGATCACGCATGAGCTGGACTTTTTGGGGAGGACGAGTCAGGATGCGTTTGGGGTTATTGGGCCGGGGGTGGAGGCTTTTGAGGAGATGTTCCGGGAGGAGGACGAGAGGAGGGCTAGGATGGCGTAGCGCCGCGGTGTTGGAATGATGGACTGAGCGTTTTGAGTGGATCTGTGCTGTTGCTGTGAGATATGCTTTGTTCTCGATTTGCTCTCTCGCTTTGATTCTTTACTTTATGATATACGACATCTGTTCCGTAGTTTATTCGCTTTGTACATACAGCCCTTATCTCTCTTGAATACCCACGGAAACGAGAGCTCTTCTTGCAACGGGCTCTGAGAATATCCTAACGCGAAGCTGAGAATCGTGTGCTATTCTACATGGGCGTCTCCGATGAGCTGTTTACATCTTGTTCGTCGTAAAGAAACTCGAAGTTCGTTCCCAAGAACTTCGAATTCGTCTGTCCAACGATATCTCCCTTACATGCGCTACCCGTCACTTCGATACCGAGATCCACAGCCAACTTTTGCATCTTCCGGCGTACGGTCATCTCCATGTCACGTTCGTATTCTGAGGTGATATCCCCGCCAACGTCCAAGAACGTGATCTCGCGGATAGGAGCACCCATCCCCAATCGACGCCGGAGGGTTTGCAATACCTGGACCAGGGGCGGCAGTCCCTGCAAGGACGTACGGTCTCGTCGAGCTTCTGCACGCGTCACTATACGGCGCAGCCTCGGTAGAAGTGGCTCGTCACGATAGTCGCGAGCTAGAGCGTTAAACAGAGCACTGCAAGCCTCGTCGGTGATGAGGTCCAACTCCAACCCGTCAAGGTCGGTGAGGTATAGCGTTTCTGTTGCAGTGAAAGGTCGCAGAACCGTTTCCCAAAGCTCTTCAGTGACGGTAGTGCATAGGGGTACGCCCCATTGTAGTTCCGTGATTCTTTCCGGTATGCGAGCCCGCGCGAGCCCTTGTATGACCCTCGTATTGATCTCCAGAGGGGATGCTTCCCAATGGCGTGGTTCGAATGCGACTTGGAAAGGGCAAGGGTAGAGAACTTCGCCGGTGATGACGTGGCGTGACGTCAATTGTATACTGGCCTTGTCATTCTCCTCATGAACCACACACTCTACGTACAGTAGGTGTTTAGTCTGCAACTCAGGGAACTGAGCGCAAGTCGACATCATCATGGAAAGCGCCCCCGAAAGGCCTTCAGCTGTTCTGACGGTGCGATCTGTGATGTCGAGCGACTCAAGGGTAGGGTGTGGTAAGGAGATATGTTCGAGGAAGTCCATGACGGATGGGCTCTCGCTCTGACGGATGTGTAGTGACTTGAGCGCAGGAAGTACGACTCGCGAGGTCACCGTGCCGATTTCTCCGTGGCGAAACGCACAATTGAAATCTATTTCCTCCATATGACGATTATGGGAAAGCACCGCGAGGATGTCGTTGAATTTGAGGCGCATATGATAAAACTCTTGGCCGCAGAGCATTCTCCATGATGTTAAATGGCCCATGGACGAGGGACGCAGGAAGATGTTCCATAGATCAAGATGTCGGATCGGACAATGCTCAATACACGAGGCGTAGATCATGTCAGAATAGGAAGTGTGATCAATCCCGGCCCGCGGGGAAAGGGTGAGCTTGAGTGTACGAAGGGCAGGAGGGGGTTGCGATGAGATGGTCGCAAGAACAATCTGTTGCTCCTCGACGGTTCTTAAAACGTACATGAACCTCTTGCTGCGCGAGATTAAGGGTGCTATGTGTTCAATTGAAGGACACTGCCATGGTCTAGAAAGCAGAAAATCGAGATCAAGGGGGGCACTCTGGGCACGATTGAGGACCTCGTCGAACACGTAACCCCCGCCAAATGCCGTCACATCGCGTGCCCAAAGCTCTGGCATGCTCAGAAGCAATGAGCGCCATAAGCGACAGACATGGCCTAGTCTAATCCAGGAGGTCGACAGAGGCTGAGATTCGCCCGGACGACTATCGTCTGCAACCAGCTCGAAGATAAGACGCAGTGCATCGAGATCGAGGCGCCCGATAGGTAGATCGGCGTATGCAGCGGTCTCCATCACGCAGGCGTTGATCTTGTGAAGCACTCGGTATGTGATCCTGGGTGCAAAGTGTAAGATCGAATTGACGGTTTCGTGAGACGTGGTGGTGGAAGAGAGAGTGCGCTGCATGGTTTTCGGAGCAACCGAGGTGTTTGCGGCAATCACCGAAGCAAAACGTGACCGTGTCGCGCTGTGATCGCTGATGAGACGCGTCGCGGCTTCCAGTCATCAGTTGACGTTTAGTTGCCGCTTGTCCTAAACTTCCACCTCGGACTGACCTCCATCGAATCCGTACGCTCTACTTCGAAGTATTTGCGTGGCTCAGTTACAACTGGTGCAACTTATTCCCCGTAAAGAGCGAGCTAACACGTCGTCTGAACCGTTTATAAGTGTATGAAGACGACAAAATACTATCTTAACTCCGATTCATGCTACCAACATGGCTTAACATCTGTGCTCTACTCGCGTTCAAAGTAATCCTTCCGCTGTAGCGATTCAACTGCCTGCCTGACATCTACAGAAAGATCGTGATGCCAGATTGGCTGCCACTGAGCATCCAAGTCCCGCCGACGGCCTTCGTCCGTCGCGCCACTGGGGCCGTAGCCATGATATATGTCACCCGCGCGAATGCTCCTACTCATGATGTCCGAAATGCGCGGTCCACGGACAACATCATACGCACAAAGGACCTCCTGATGACGGACATAGTGATCAGTTCCCGATGAAGTACAAGCGATGACATGTAGAACTTACGCTAAGATTGGCCAGCCGTGTCTGAGGGTGCGTGAGCAGACTTGTAAGCACGTAAGCGTCTTCTATGCCTGTCCCGGCGCCTGCGCCGAGATGGGGGAGCATGGCATGCGCCGCGTCGCCCACGAGGACAACAGAGACGGGCTTGTCCTTGTTCGCCGCCTTTTTATCAGGTGCCACGGAGACCAGAGCCTCAGGTAACGGGTGCAGAGCATGGAGGTTCCACTTATTCGGGGCCTCCATGCAGCCTAGTATAGCGCGTGCTTCTTCCCCAAAGTCTTGGAATGCGGAAAGCAATTCGCCGGTGGACGCGGGTTTGAGCCATGGGACTTCGGAGTTAGCGGGAACCATCTCTTGAGTACGATCGAGAGTGAAGGCCGCAACATTGAGCACCGTTCCATTCACAATTGGGTACGCTATCATGTACTGGCCAAGTGCTGATTTCAACTTCCGCATACTCATGGAATGTAGGCGCGTACCTTGTCTTGGGCGCCCAGCCAAATCCGCGCCTTGGGTCGAAGCATCTCCTCCTTGATGCCTGCATCGAGCAAGCGTTGCATAGGAATGATCTGCCGATATGCGCGCGAGCCCGTATCGACGAGCCCTGAGCCTCTTTCCCCGAACACTTCCAGGATCGTGACATATACACCCGTCCAAGGAACAGGATCAGCGTACCTTGCGTTCGGACTGCACTCTTGAGACCATCAGCACCGATGATGAGATCCGCTTCATGCATACTGCCATCCGCGAAGTGCACGCGGGGACGCCCGTTGCTCGAGGATGCAATGGAGATGCAGCGCTTCTGGAAGTGCGAGTGTACTACCCCGGCTGGCAGAAGATCAGCGAGAGCCTTGAGAAAGGCGGCGCTGCGTGAAGAACGAAGTTAGGTACTGTAGAGTGCTAAATATGACATCCACATACCGATGTAGTCCATATCCCCCGACCTCGAAAATGTGGTCTGTGTACTGTAGGTCACGTCGATAGCTGTGTCGTATTGTAAGACGCAGGAGGCGCCGTACCTGGAGTATCTCGTCATGAGGGTCCGCGCCACGGACGAAAGTGATCAAAGGTAAGGTATCACGATTCTCGGAGACGGCAAGGAAGTCGTCGAAAATACCCATATCCTTCAGAACACGGACCGAGTTCGGACCTAATCGAACAATGATCGGTACAATCCGGCGTTACACTCGATGGGGAAAAGTAAAGATAGAGACCGTACCTATACCAATGCCGGCGCCAATCTCATCGTACTTGTGCTGTTCAGGGACGTCAGAGAGCCTAGGATTGAAGAGCAAACGGAACAATGCGTACTGCAGCCTCGAAAATGTCGACTTTTATGCCTGCACGGCCGAGTGCGATGGCACACAGAACGCCTACGAGACCGCCACCAATCACTGCGACCGTAAAGTCCTTACTAATGGCCATTGTCGAGGAGGGAGAGTTGTTGATTTAGCGAGTTTCATCCGCCTGAGGCTTTTAAACACGGAGGTCAATGCAACCACATGAAATAGTGACGCCTTGAGCTCGGAGTGATATGTTCCGAAGAGCTGAGAGAATGAGTGGAGGGTGAATCATATGAGGTTTGGGGCCAGCTTGAGATTCATACATCGTGTCAGTTCAACTTCATGGGACGGCCCCGGCGACGAAGTCAGATCATGCTGACTTGGCCACGTTGACAGTATGCAATAAACGAAGCAACACCACCATTCAGTCTTGTCAGCCTGACTGTACAATAACACGGGAAGCTGACCAATGTATCAAGAAGCCAGTACGTCTCCTTCTCAACGAGGAAGCCACGTCTCATGAACTTGCAGCAACAGGCGGAGTATCGCAACACCATCTCCGAGTTTCTTGGGCACCATGACAGGCGACATAGGGGCCTGACGTAGTTGAAGGGAGAAACTGCATGGAATCGACCAACGAAGGCCCTCTTCCTGTCTGTAGGCAAGATGATAGTGGATGGTGGCAACTTGAAGAGGCCGAGTCGCGGCGCGCCATGGTATAGAACTCCGAGGTGCCGCGTGCGCCGGGCCGAAGGCCCCATGCGCGCCACCACCCGCCCACCCGGCCATCCGAGTTCGACTTCATCTTCATGGTAGAGCATGCTTGGACTTCTTAGAATCATCTTGCGGGGAACGATTGGCATGACACAGTGGCCCATCTACATTGGAACATATCCTCACTTCACCGTGGTCAAGGCGCTGCCATTGCTACTTACTCATGTCGCTTGAACTGCCACGCTCCGAACGTGATGCGCCGACGGGAAGGTCTCTACAACACGAACCCTCGATATTGAAGCTACGTGCGACGTTTTCCATACAACTGGAGGACAAGATATCCATGATGTTTGAAGCTTCTCATCAACTCTTCGTGAAGACGCCGCCATCTACGAGAGCTTGTACAATCTGCCTGACCTCAGCTTGGGCATCGTGGTGCCAAATTTCGTCGAACTGACGATCAAGATCACGTCGACGGCCGTCGGTGGATGGGCCACTCGGACCGAGGCCGTGATAGACTTCTCCAGCACGCTTGCTCGCATTCGCCACAAACGTTGTGCGTGGCACGCGCGCTTCGTTATACGCATGCAGGACGTCCTGATGCTTTGTTAACGAAGATAGGACTGCAAATAACGTCGTGGGCTTACGCTGAGATTGTCCCTGCACGTCTGCGGGTGGCTGAGCAGGTTTGCAAGCTCGTACGCGTCCTCGATTCCCACGCTCGCTCCTGAACCAAGATACGGAACCATGGCATGCGCGGCATCGCCAATAAGGACCACGTTCGCCTTACTGCCTACACCAGTACTAGAGGTCGGAGCAGAGCCTACGTGGCACTCAAGCGGCGGATAAAGCCCATGAATCTTCCACTTTGTCACTGACTCGTCCGCTTGTTCGAGAATCGCGCGGGCATCGCTGTCGAAGTCGACGAATGCCGCCTGCAACTCAGTCCGGGGCGCAGGTATCACCCAGTCCGTCCATGAGGATTGGGAACCCGCTGGTACCATAACTTTGCTGAGGTCGGTTGCGAAGGCCGCCATGTTGTACATGGCACCGTCGCCGATGGGGTAAGAGACAAGGTGCTAATAGAGCAGGCACATATAAGACACCATTCATCGAAGATTTCAGATGACAGTATACCTTTCTGGAGCCCATCCAGCATCGCGGCACCAGCGCATTTGTGTTCACACCGGCCTCCATCAGACGTTGAATAGGGAGCAAGTTTCGATAGCATCGATGTCCCGTGTCAACAAGGCGATCCCCCTTTGGTCCTAGTACTGTTTCATCAAGTAAGTACCTCCCTCCTGCATACGTGGGAGAAGTACCGCTTACCTAAGCCGCGAATAGCGCTCTTGATGCCGTCTGCACCAATGACAATGTCCGCCACAGTTCTGCTGCCATCCGCGAACTGCACCTCTACACGCCCATCTTGATTGGTGATGACATCGGTGCAACGCTTGCGAAAATGTGAGTGAACTCCAGGTGGTAGAAAGCGAACGAGCGTATTAATGAGCACAGCACTGAGGTACAGGAGCGCGTTAACACATGTCTCGATTGAAGGATGAAGGTAATGTGCCTACCGATGCAATCCGATACCCTGGTCCTTTTCGACGGCATTTTCGGGATACTACGGTGAACCATCATTCAGCGCGATTCTCACATGTCGATATGTTGGACCACACCTGATAGACACTTTCGCGACTATCGGGACCCATCACAAAACCGAATAACGGCAGCCGAGGTCCTGCTGCGGCTTTCGCGATTTCATCCAGTAAACCCAAGTCTTTCAAGATGGGATGTGCATTGTGTTCTAGAGTGAAGTTCACAGTCAGATCTCGACTTCACCTTAGCATATGTAAGACGAGAAGCGTACGGATTGTCACTCCTGCGCCAATCTCGCCATACTTCGTCTATACGCATGGTGCCTTGAGTGCAAAAAAGCAAAGAAGGAAAAGGGACAGCATACGGCAGCTTCATAAATATCGACTTGCACGCCCTTTTGCGCGAGCGCGATAGCGCATATAAGACCCACAATGCCGCCGCCGATAAGCACCACTCTGAAATCCTGCTGGGCGTTCATCTTGCCGCGGATGTCGAATCCTGGGGAGTATCACGCTGGCGATGCGAGTTTTGCCAGACGTAGTATGTCGCCGCTCTCATATATCTCGGTGGGTGGGAGACAGAAATCTGACTGCGAGGGAATGCAGTCGGAGTTTGACGACTCCGGTGCGCCTCTGAACGCGAGAGCTGCCAAGATTTGGGGAGGGGCGATGAGTACGAAACCATTACAATCAGCGCTCTGCCACGCGAGAGATTTGTATAGGAGCGAATAGGCCGTGGATGATCGAGACGACATTGGAGGTGGAAATCTAGGGTGACTGAGCATTGGTGAGCTTCGAGACGTCTGGAAGGTTGGGCTCAGACGTTGAGCACGCGTTAACCGAGTTGCAGACCTGAGTTATTGTGACTATCGACTTGGTCATATCTCGAGTACCAGCGGCCGCGCAGCCATAGAACCTGTATAGCCCCACAGCACCTGAACTGAGTGAAGCAAACATTCACGACATGAAACAGGACACCGAGCTACTGCAACCCCTACACGGGACAGTTGCCGTCGCCGCCGGCGACGTCCAGCGAGGGAGAATCAGAAATGCGGTGCTTCTATGGCCTCATACCCCATGTAAGATATGTCACGAGTGTAAGCGGCGGAGTGGCTCTCTCCGAGATGCTTGTAAGTCGGCGTGAAGAGCCTCCTTGGTGGTGGGTGTTCGAGACGAGCCATTACTCACGCGGTCAGCTTGCTTATGGGGCTTATCAAGGTTTATAAGGGCTTATAAGGGCTTATCAGGGCTTATCTGCAAGATTATCCCATGTGATAACTAATCCCGGCAAATCTCTCCGCGCGCTCGTCCGCATATGCTAGCGCGCGCTGCTTTCGACCGTCATGTAACTTGGACCTCACCTGAACTGTACATTGCAACCATGAATCTATCTTTCCGTCAAACAAAGATCCCAGACTTGACCAGGCCGTCCACGGCTTTCTCAACATCCACCTTCACATCGACGTCCCAGATATTCTCCCATTGCGATTGAATATCCTTACGCCGTCCTGATTCGCTGGGGCCGCTCGGTCCGCGTCCGTGCATTACCTCACCGGTGCGCCTGCTTGCATTTGCTGCGTGTGCCCCGCGCGGGGTGCGAATGGAGTCGTACGCGCGCAGAACGTGCTAGAATGAGAAGATGATGAATGTCCGGCATCGTGCGTGGAAAGCAGAAGAACAGACGTACTGAAAGATTCGCGCGAGATGTCTGCGGATGGGCGAGCAGACGGGCCAAGACATACGCATCTTCAATGCCTGCTCCTGCGCCGGCGCCGAGGAACGGCAGCATCGCATGTGCTGCGTCGCCGATGAGAGCAACGTTCACCTCATGATCGTCCTTTCCTTCCATTTTCGCAGCACCAACGTAGCTCTCGAGCGGCGGATACAATGCATGGATGGACCATCGGCTTGGCTCTTTGATACGCTTCAGGATGGCGCGAGGGATGCTGCCGTAATTGCTAAAGGCTTCAAGCATTTCCTCTTGCGGGACCTTCACAACCCATGTTGACCAAGACGCCTGCGATTGACCCACAGGAATCATGCTGTGCGAGTAGTCAAGGGGAAAGGCAACGACGTTGAGAATGGTGCCATTCATAATGGGGTATGTGACCAGGTGCTATTCAATGTATGAGATAACTAGGGGAAGATGGAACTTGATCTGGCACCTTGTCTTTGTCTATCCACAGTTGCGGCGTTTGTAAAGTCTCCTCTTTGAAACCCGCCTCAAGCAATTCTTGGATAGCAAGTTGGCTTCGATACGCGCGTCCACCCGTGTCGACAAGATGTCCATCTTCCTGACCGAATACTGTGGGGTCATGCAATTCAGTTTACTGCCGTTCAACCACACAGGCTCGTGACATACTGTGAGTCCTCACTACACTCTTAATGCCGTCGGCGCCGATGATGGCATCTGCGTCGTGTACAGTTCCATCCGCAAAGTGCAGACGAGTGTGTTTGCCGTTGCTCGTTATATTCCGGGTGATGGCGGTACAGCGCTTTGACAGATGTGAGGCCACTCCGTCGGGCAGAATACTCGCGAGTGTATTGACGAGTGTGGCTCTTGAAGATCCTTTAGTGACATTGAATGTCGAGAGGTCAATCAGCTTACCGATGGATAGTCATTCCAGGCTCCTCAGGGAAAGGATACTGTCGATCAGGTATCAAACTCGGCGCGACTCAGCGGGCGTAGACTCGAACCTCGTATACCAAGGTGTGTGGTTCCTCTCCCATCACATATGTATTTGGACGGGGAGGCGCATGATTCCCCTGCGACGGGACAGTAATCTTGTCAAGTACACCCATGCATCTCAGGACGCGGACCGCGTTTGGTCCTGAATCGATCCATTCATTGACTTGTCTCGTGCAGCAGTAGTATGGACCTTTGCACTCACCCAGGTTGAGACCACCCCCTACGTTAGCACCGTACTGACTCTAAGGCGACGAACATGCTCAGAAGGGGTCATTCCGGATTAGTTTCGGAGGCCACGCACGACGGACTCGAAGACATCCACTCGTACGCCCGCTTGTGCAAGGCCGATGGCACACGCGAGACCGGCAATCCCACCACCGACGATGGCAACGGTGAAGTCCTTCTGTTCCATTTCGCACTGAGAGATGATGTTCTGATAGTAGGAAACGTGCTGTGAGGGTAGAGTGAAGCGCCGAACCGGTTAACGTTCTCACTTGAAATGCACCTCCCATTTATACGCCAGCACATGTAGCAGTACGCGTTCAAGCGGCATGCAACCATGCCGTGGTATGCCAGTGATAGTAGGTGCATAACCGCGATCCGACGGTGTACTACTCGGAGATACGAACGTCCGTACAGCGTCCGTACATGGAACATTGTCTATACCGAACACTAAGCAAGACATGCGCTACAATATCGCTCCGTCATCTAATCAGATACCTAATAGCGCTTAGCAACAACCCAATCAAGCCTTCACGGCATAAACACGCCGCCTTCAACCAGCGCCTCAACGGCCTTCGCAACATCATTGCGCGCATCATGCTCCCATGTCTCCTCCCACTGCAAGTCGAGATCCTTCTTGCGCCCGGCATCATCCGGTCCACTCGGACCATGACCTTGGTAGATGCTACCCGCCCGACGACTGGCGTTGGCGACGTAGGCACCGCGCGGGAGGCGGACTGTCTCGTAGGCGCGCAAGATATCCTGTTCAAAGAGTCCAGAGTCAGCAATAGCTCTCACGTTTCATGCGGACAAATCAAACATACACCGATGTTCTCCCGCTTCGTCTGCGGGTGGGCGAGAAGACGCGCGAGGACGAACGCGTCTTCGATCCCTACACCAGCACCAGCGCCCAGATGCGGCAACATCGGATGGGCCGCATCGCCTACAATCACCGTGTTCGCCTTCTCTGTCCCTTCCACTTTCGCCTCACCATCCTCGGGTGCACGCGCGACGGTGCGCTCGAGCGCAGGATAGATCCCATGGACGTCCCACTTGTTCACGTTCTCGACGCAGTTCAAGATCGCAAGCGCATCGGGCCCGTAGTCGGAGTACGCTGCGATGAACTCGTCACGGGATGACCGCCTAACCCAGGTCGACCACGAGGATTGGGGGCCCGCGGGAACCATGTCCTTTGAGTAGTCCGTCACGAAGGCGGCGATGTTGAGCATCGTGTTGGAGGAGATCGGATACATGAGGATGTACTGCCAGTGTGTCCAACATTAGAACGCGTCTACGCGAAGAATGAGAGGAGCTTGCCTTGCCATTGCCCATCCAGCACCGCGTGTGCGGCTCAAGAAGCTTGGGGTTTATGCCCGCGTCGAGAAGACGCTGCATCGGAACCAGTGTCCTGTAAGCGCGGCAGAGAGTATCGACCAAACGATCGCCACCTTCGTCAAACACTGCCAGACCTCAAGTTCAATAGATAGCTCCTTAACACGATGGAAGTACTGCTACGCACCATGCGCCCTGACCGTACTCTTGATCCCGTCGGCGCCGATCACAACATCGGCGAAGTGCTCGCTCCCATCCGCGAAGTCGACACGGACACGTCCATCGCTCAACGTCGTCACCGTCGTCGCGCGCTTGTTGAGGTGTGAAACCACGTTATCCGGGAGGATACGCGCAAGCGCCTTGAGGAAGTAGCCGCTGAAGATCAGGTGCGGGAATCAGCTTCTCCCGCATACGCTAACCTATACGCATAAGGGGACATGCATACCGGTGCACTCCAAAACCTTGATTGGTCCTCTTGTCGTCAGGGTACTGTATGCGTCATGCATGTCAGATCTAGAGTTTGAGGGGAGAGGGCGTTGCACTTTACCTGATACACGACGTTGCGTACGTCCTCGCCCTTGACGAAGGTGACGAGGCTCATAGGCGGGCCTTGGTCCTCTAGCACGGCTTTGACATCGTCAACGATGCCCATAGCTTCCAACACGCGGTACGCGTTCGGGCCTGTGTGCAGTCAATTCAGTGTCACTCTCAGGGTCGGCGCGTTTAACGTACCGATATTGATGCCTGCGCCGACGTCACCGTAGCCGGACTACGCAATACCATGAGTAGTTCACGATAGAGGATGGAGAGTACTAAGACGTACTGCAGCTTCGAACACCTCGACATGCACGCCCGACTTCGCGAGCTCAATGGCGCAAGTGAGCCCTACAAAGCCGCCTCCGACGATAGCAACGGTGAAATCCTTGTTCGAGCTCATGGGAGTATAGGGTCAGGTGAGGGATATGAGTGGAGTGGTTGAAATATCCTGTTGTGTTGTCAATCCAACTACTCAATGCAGTCGACCTTAAGAACCGTACTCTTCGGAGTTGACCTGTCAATCGATCCGGTGTCCTGAGAAGGCGAGGAGCGCGTCCTGCATAGGATAAGCTAACAAGCTTACGCGTAGCATGCATGGGCTTACACATGATACAAGACCGTATAGCTTGCGGCAGGCAAATGCAGAGGCGTGCGGGTAGGAGGCCGATAACACCGGACAATTGTGGCGGGAAGATCAAGACGGACGACTTCGTTTTGGCTGGCATTGTAGCCGGCAACGGCCGGTTGGGAATCCGTTGCTCCTTGCGTCACTATGCCGCTGGACAGCGGTTTCAGAGTCGGGCTACGCGGGAAGCGAGTAGCGGGTGGCCGTGATGGCGAAGGTGCGAAGCGCAGCCTCGCCGGCGGCACACTCGCGTACGCGTCGGTGGTCCTCGTTGCCGACTGTCAAGGGGACCTTCCTTTGTATTCTAAGCATGCAACTCCAAAATAGTACCCGAACGGGCAACATGGAGAGCGGCGCGTGCTCTCGGAGGTTCCTATTGTGGACGTTGGTCAGCGTCATGCAAGAAGCTCGCAAGCGTACAGCTGTTGGATGCACGAGACTTACCGAATAATCTTGAGCGCCTGCAAGCTCGCACTGCCACTAGCTATTCCAGCACACGACCCCAGTAGGCATGGCCAGTGTACTCAGTTGTTTGTCATTCGAGGGAGGAAGCAGTACTCGGAATCCATTCTTCCCACCGGGATCCCGCCGTGCACAACCAGCTATAGCAAGCACTAGCCCAAGTATATTTCATGGGTCATATAAAGGTGTTAGGTGACGCCATTTCGCGGTCACTGAAGCTCTGAACGGGTATGGTCGCCGTATCAAACCAAGTCCAGGCGAAGTGGTGACTTGCCGGTTCCGTTCTCGGCCCGGAGCTCCCGGCGTAGCCCTAACCCTACTCCTTGCGCGGAACAGCGACCAGTCACTGGAGTCCTTGCAATCGGCAACCGACTCAACTATCATGCCATGCCACCACAGCACTATCAAAAGAGTCGCACAAGTCAACATCTCACGTATATAATTCGCAGCCGATTCATTACGCAAGACTACATACGAGCCATGACCAAGTCCTGCCAAAGCCTTGCCCGCACCTCCTCCACCTTCGCCTCGACCACCTTCACTGCCTCCGCCATCATATCATCATACACGATCCCTTGGAGCCCGAACACGCCCTTCGCAAAAAGATCGTCGACAATCCTCTGCACGTCCCAACGCACATCATGCCCCCAAATGCCCTCCCACTGCAACCCCAGATCCTTCCTACGCCCCGCGTCGCTCGGTCCGCTCGGTCCGCGGCCATGGTAGATCTCGCCCGCTCGTAAGCTCAGGTTGGCGATGTACGCTCCGCGCGGGACGCGTACCTTGTCGTAGGCTTGGAGGATGTCCTGTGAGTGATAGGTCAGACCCGACCTCTACATAGGAGCGAACGGTGGTCGACACGTACGGTGAGGTTTTGACGCTTTGCTTGAGGATGAGAGAGCAGACGAGATAAAACGTATGCGTCTTCAATCCCCGCACCCGCCCCG